GGGGGAATATGCATATACCGCTACGTAGAACATACACATGTGTGTATATATACACATATATATATATGTATATACATATATGTATATACATATATATATATATATATAGATATCCACCTATACATTTATGCCGATGCAGGTGTTGATGTCTCAAAACAAAAGATAAATCAAAAAAGGTGAGACTTAGAGAGAGAGAGAGAGCAAGAGCAAGAGCAAGGGCGAGAGCGAGAGAGAGAGAGAGAAGGGGGGGGGCAGAGGCACAGAGGCGGCAAGACACGCGGGATAGGGAGGTGGGCCTGGGCGTTGCGAGGCGGCGGCGCTGGTGCGGAGCAGCTGGAGCAGGAGGAACAACACGACGGCGGCGGCGACGCGGCGGCGGCGGCAGCGGCTGCCGGCAGAGGGCGAAGGCCGCGGAGCGCTCATTGGCACCTGCAGCACGTCGTTCTTCCACACGCCTCGCACCCTCGCCACTCCCGGGCGGCCGCTCCTGCTCCCGTCACCCCCCTGCGCTGGAGCCGGAATGCCGTGCCCCTCCTCCTGCCGGGTCTCTCCCTCTTCCTCCTCCTCCTCCTCCTCCTCCTCCTCATCATCATCATCACCACCACCATCATCAGCATCATTATCATCAGCAGCAGAATCACCATCAGCATCATCATCACCACCATCATCATCAGCAGCAGCAGCATCAGCATCATCAGCATCATCAGCATCATCATCACTATCATGCTCATCATCATAATAATCATCTTCATCACCGTAATCATCATCATTGTCATCATCATCGTCATCGTCATCGTCATCAGCATCATCAGCCTCATCAGCATCATCATCATCATTATCATCATCATCATCATCATCATCATCATCATCATCATCATCATCATCATCATCATCATCATCATCATCATCATCGTCATCGTCATCGTCATCGTCATCGTCATCGTCATCGTCATCGTCATCATCATTGTTCTCCTCCTCGATATAATCCTGTTTCTCCTCCTCCAAATCCATCCGTTTCCCTGATAGATAATTCCTCCCTGTCGCACCCCGAGACGTGCTGGTAGGGCGGGTCGAGCTTTGTGTCCAATACTTCTTGACAACTCATGATCCTGAGGCTTGAAACCATGTGCAACAGTGTCACGTATGGAGGGTGCGCCGTTGTCAGAATGAGGCTGCCGCCTGAGCGCCGCACACATGCGTCCTGGCAAATATGCAAGAGTTTCACGGATGGACGGAGGTCCGCTCGAAATGTTGCTCTCGCCGTGGCGCCGCGCACATCCGTCTTAAAAGTACGCAAGAAATTCACGGACGGAGGGTGGACCGTTTTCACAATGCGGCTCTCACCTCTGCGCCGCGCACATTCGCCTCAAAAATGTGCATGAGACTCATGGGTCTAATGCGGTGATTTGCTAAAATGTGGCTCTCGCCGTAACGCCGCGCACACCTTCGTCTTGAAGTCCGCAACAGTTCCAAATATTCGTATGATGAAGTCCCAGGATTGATATTCTGGCACGGTTTAGGACAGTCAGAACGCAAGAGTAACGTTAATTCGCGGTGTTGAAGCCCCAAGAACGGCATTCTGACACGATTCACTATTGTCAGAACGCCACCGTAACGTTGAGTCGCGGCGTTGAAGTCCAACGAACGGTTTGGTGACACGATCAACGACTCTCAGACGGTTGCCTCCCAATGGGGCCTTTCCTGCCATGGGGCACTTCCCTCGATGAATGTACGTTCTTGCCTGCACCTGTGAAGAGGGAACCTGGAGGGAGAGTTGATTGCAGCATCGTTGACGCGCCTTGGGTTCACAGTGGTCCTCCTCCTGCTCCCGCGGCCCCAGACGCCTGTTTGGTGACCCAGACTCCTCTCGCTTCAAAGCCCCATGCCCATCGCGATGTGGCAGTCGTGGCACTCAAGGAGGAGCCGCCACGGGATAGGACGTTTGCCCGGTCGCGCCCAGATTGTGGGGACGTCTCAGGCAATTTGCCTGTTCGGTGGCCCAGGCCCCTCTATTTTCGGAGCACCATGTCATCGCGATGTGGCAGTCGTGGAAGTTGAAAGCCCCTAAGGAGAAGCCGCCAGGGGATAGGACGGTTGCGCGTTCGCGCCCAGATTGTGGGGATGTCTCAAGCGGTTCACCACCCCATGCTCATCGCGATGTAGCAGGCGTGGCACCTGAGCATCCCCAAGGAGGAGCCGCCGCCACCAGAGGGGACTGGCAGTTGCCTGGTTGCACCCAAGTTGTGGGGATGTCAAAAGCGGTTTGCCTGTTTGGTGGCCCAGACTCCTCTTTCTTCAAAGCCCCGTGTCCATCGCGATATTGCAGGCGTGGCACGTCAGCACCGCAAGGAGGAGCTGCCAAGGGGTAGGACATTTGCCCGTTCGACCCCCGACCTGCGGGGATATACAAAGCGGTTTGCCTGTTTGGTGGCCAAGACTCCTCTCTTCAAAGCCCCATGCCCATCGATGTAGCAGGCGTGGCGCTCGAGGACCTCAAAGCGGCGCAGCCAAAAGTTAGGACATTTGCCCGTTGGCGCCCAGATTGCAGGGATGTCTCAGGCGGTTTGCCTGCTTGATGGTCCAGACCCCTTTCTTTGCTGAGCCCCATGCTCATCGCGATGTAGCAGGCGCAGCATTTGAGCACCCCAAGGCGGAGCCGCCAGCGGGTCGAGAATTTGCCCGTTGGCGCCCAGATTGTTGGGGGGGGGGTTCCAGCGGTTTGGCTCTTCTGGGATTTAGCTACTGATCAAAACATTCATCGTTTCAGAATGTACTACTTCGCAACACCTATCGAATCAGGTGTCTTGACTGCCAGCGCATACAAACGCTTGCACGGATTCGAGCCGGATCCCTGCGGCCCCCGACCAATGAGTCAACTCTGTGGGACGATTGCGGAATCAATCTATCCAGCGTCATCTTGGTGAGGAGAGGGAGGGGAGGAAGACACGAAGGACAATAGGGCAAGGGGCACGATGATGAACAGGAGCCCCATCGCCAAAGGCCCAAGGCCCCAGGGCAAGCGAAAAGCACTCCAGGCTGGAGAGCCCAAACTCGGAAGAAGGCCAATGGAAACAACGGCGGCTCTCCCGCCGAGCACAAGTCCGCTACAAATCGGTCCCCTGGACCTCTCCTGGGGCCATGCTGACCCGAGAGGATCCAACCATGACGACGAGAAGCCCCCTCCTGAGGTCCCCCTCTCCCAGTGCATTCCCCCCCCCCCCCTCCTCCTCCTCCTCCTCCTCCTCCTCCTCTTCCTCCTCCTCCTCCTCCTCCCCCTCCTCCCCCTCCTCCAACCATGACGACGAGAAGCTCCCAGGGGGCCCAACACGGACGAACAAGCACGCCGGGGAGGACCGCCGGCGTCTCGAGCCCGCCCGCCTCCGAACACACACACGAAGAGGGCACCCCGGGGCCTGGCTTCTACCGGCAGCAGCACTTCGCTTGCTGCCTGCCCGGGGTGATCCAAGCAAGCGGCAGTGAGATGGGACGCACAGAGACATACTGATACTATATGTCCTGCTTGGAGACGCGCGTCCGACCCGAACATATAGTATACCCATCTTGTAGTACATCGTTTCCCGAGCGGTGTGGCCAGAAAGCGCCCGCCACGACGCATATACTATAAGATTTCTCGGTGCGCGCGTCGCTCCTGAGGGGGCGACGCACATATAGTATAAGTATGTTGGAATGACGCCGATGAGACGCTACTCAATGGGTCACAGAGGTCGCTGGCCCCAGTCAACTAGACGTCTCCCAAACCGTATGTCGAGCTTGCGGGAAATGCCAGCTCATGAGCGCAGGAGGAACAAGGGGCCTCCCCGTCCTCCGACTCCCTCCCCAGGGGTTCGCCGCCCAGGCTAGTTCCGGGGGGAGGGCAAGCTGAAGGCCCGTCCTGGCCTGTCCCCGAGCTGCCACCCAATGCTTCCGTGGATCCCCCGACGGGCGCATGACGTGAGACAACGTGATCGTACTTCGGCCCCTTCGATTTGCTTTTTTTCGCCCGCGACCTACTAGCAGGCTGAGCCCGCACCTCGCGCGCACAGCCGCTTGGTGCCAGAGCGACGGGTGCAGGCTTCTGTATCACGGTCCTTTCCCACAGGCTGGCACGGCCCCGAGGTCGAGGCGCTGCTGACCCAGGGGGTCGACGGTCAGCTTCCCCCGGGGCTCTCACTTGTGGAAGCTCGCTCTCCAGCAGGCCAGAGACCCTGAGAGGACGTCTGCCTTCGGGACGTGTCCTCGAGCCTGGGAGGGGCCGGTCACAGTCGCCTCTTCGACGTCCGGACCAGACGGCCACATTCGAACAAACATGGATCCTCACGTTGCCCGTTCGGGGGGTATTATCTGTTCCGCCGCGCCCCTCCGCGTCGCAGCCGTGTCGACTTCATGTCGGACTCGTCAAATCTTCGTCGAATCCACGTCGAATCCGCGACTAAGCAACGCCAAATCTGTGTCGAGTCCGCATCGAGCCCGCGTGGGGCATGAGACAAGACATCAATGTTGTGGACAGACGGGGCCCCCCCGAAGATGCAGCGTAAAGATCTGCTCGAGCTGGCCCAGCCCCCTAGGATCACCACGGCGCAGGTCCGAAGGCCATCTTGGCGCCCCCTGCGGAATGACGCCAATTCAGCACTCGCCAGTCGCCAGAGGTCCCTGGGGGCCCCCCAGAGGTCGAGAAAGAGAGAGAGATTGATAGAAGCACAAAAAAAAGATTCGGGCGGATGCCCGCCTGGGCGCCAGGCGGCAAGCGGCCCGCGCCCCCAACGCTTCGGGCTGACGCGCAGCGAACTGGGGAGAGCGACTGTGTACCCCAAGCCCTCGGCTCCCACCCACTTCGTCTATGAACGCAATTAACCAGGGCCGATAACACACACACACACATACACACACACACACACGCACGCACACGCACACACACACACACACACACACACACACGCGCACACACACACACACAGTTACACACACACACACACACACACACACACGCACAACACTAACAAGGGAGCCATGGGGGCGAGCACATGCCACATCAAGCCACCCACTGAGGCAGCGCCCAACGACACTGTACGGTCGACAACTGAACAATCAGTGAAAAAACACACGTTCAAGACTACCGGACGACCGCCAGTGCTGGGCAAGCGGGCGAGGGCACAGGCGAGGGCATAAGCTCCGCAGAAGCCTCGAGCGCCTCAAACGGCTGGATCGACGCGCAATCGGTCTGAGCGTTGCGCCGCTTTGGAGACATCACCTGCTCGAACAACAACGGATGTGTCAAAGCGGCGGCCGCGCAAATCATAGCCGTGCCGACTGCCGCCGTGACCACGGCATCGACGCTGGTCGTCACCGGGGGGGCAAGCGGAGCATCTGGCTCGACAAGATCCGCGATGCGCTCCTCCGCTGCACAGAGCGCCCCGGCGAGGTGCTTCTGGGCGAAGCTCTTCTCGGCGCCCTTCGTGAATACCATAATCAGCGAAGACGGCAAGCCTGGCACCTTGTAGCCGTTGATGGCATCGCCGTCGTCACAGAGGGGGACGAACTCCAACACGTGCGGATGCTCCCTGAACATGGATCGCAATCTCTCTGCGAAAAAATCGATGCCAATGCCGGAGACCTTTCCAGAATACGGGGATTCCACCCAGCCCGCCTCGTAGCACATCGAGGGCTCCAAGGGATGCATGTCGGCTACACGCCCCACGGAGATGCCCATGCACGTCTGCAAATGAACTTCCACCAAATCCATGCCGTAAACATGCTGGTGCATCCTCTGGACAGAGCCACCGCCCATGCGTGCATTGACCTCCAAGATCCGCACGCCACACTGCGGGGAGAACCTCACGTCAAGGTCGAAAACCCCCGTCGTCAAGCCAAGCGCCTGCACGGAAGCAACGCAGTGAGAGGCAACAGAAGCCTCGACGACATGCCCGTGGACAGTAGGGAAGCTGCGGCCCGTGCCTTGGAAGAACTGCCCATAGCTCTGCTTGTCTGCGTCCATGACGGAACAAAATAACAAGCGGCCGTGCTGCATCACAATTTCCACACCAAATTCGGGCCCGTCAATATACTCCTCCAAGAGGAAAACCTCGTCCCGAATGTTACGCTCGGCGCGCTGTTCCAAAAATGTCTTCATGGCCTCCTCTGCGGAAAGGACTTTGACGACACCAACAGAGGCTGAACCTTTCGCTGGCTTCAAGATCGCAGGGAACGCAATCTGACCCACAGCCTGCTCAATGTCCTGCGTCGTGGAACATGGGAACGATTTCCACGGCTCCAGCCCATTGGCAACGAGGCACTTGCGGGTTTCGTTTTTGAACACGCATCTCCGTACTGCCTCGTAGCTGTTCGTCACAACACCGAGCCTCTCTGCGACCAAAGCGGTCAAGAGCAAGTACTTGTTGTACGCATTGTAGGCGCCGGTAACGTTGCCAATCGACGCGGCCCGCAAGGCGTCCACGACTGCATCGGCGAGCTCCGCTTCCTGCGGAAGTTGTCGGAGGCCTGGAACGACGACCACCTTGTGCACCACGCCAGTGACCTCCATCTCGTGAACCCAAGATCCCTCGCCATCAACGACGACAGTGTTAATGCCCAACTCGTGCATCCTCTCGAACATGCCAAGGCTGCGAGCTCTGGGCCCGCTGCCAATTACCAGCGCCACCATGCGAGACCCGTCGGCATTCACGAACACCATGTGGCGAAGACGGAGTGCCGACAAGCGAGTGGCAAAAACAGACCACAAACACAAGACAACGTTGCAAGCACAAGGGCTGGGGCCAAAATGGTTACGGTAAGCGCAGGAAGAAGAGGAGGAAGAGGAGGAAGACTGGGAAGCGTAGATGCAAAAGGCGGCCGTCACGCGCATCATCTGCTAAGAACCCTGGCGCAAGCCAGAAGTACCATAGCCCCCGCAGCTGCGGATAAGAGTGAGGGGGCGGCGGGGTCGCTGGCAATCTGCGAGGCTCTGAAGAAGCCCGTCGCAGGCGCCGTTTTGTTCACGCATTACACAACGAGCCCGCCGCAGGCGCCGATTCAAGTCAACGCAATGTGGGCGAGTCGCGGGTGGACCGCGGGTGGGTTGCGGAGTGGGTCGCAGGTGGGTCGCGGGCGGGTCGCAGGAGAGGACGACAACAAGGCAAAACAAGTAGCCCTTGGTTTCGGCAAGAACAACAACAAGAACAGTAACAATAACAGCAATTATGTTGTGACTGTTCGCTCTTATCTGCTCGCGTGTCATTCATCATGTATCCCACACCCTCGATCCACGCCACCTTCGTTCAAGCGAGGAGCTGGTTTCAGCCTCCCCAAGGGGGGACGCCAGGGGGTTTTGCACAGGCCCGTTCGCGCCCGGATTGTGGGGATGTCTTAGGCGGTTTGCCAGCTTGCATGCTCAACATCGGCTGCTTCCGGAGCCGTTTGCGAGTATGTCCCAGGCGAGGCGCTGGTTTCAGCCTCCAAAAAGGAGGGCGCCAGAAGGTATTGCATGGGCCCGTTCGCGCCCAGATTGTGGGGATGTCTCAGTCGGTTTGTCTGTTTGCGTGCCCAACATCCTTTGCTTTCGGAGCCGTTTGCGAGGATGTCTTAGGCGAGGCGCTGGTTCTGGCACAGATCACTAATACTCAGACTCACGCTCATTCAGACACACTCGTACTCACACTCAGACATACTCAGAATCAATCGCACACATACACCCCACTCCCACTGTTATCAATTCGTACTCACCCAAGTCATGCCCCGACTGATACACACATCAACCATACAGTCGAAGCCCCGTGCACATCGCCATGTAGCAGGTGTGGCCGTTGAGCTCCCCAAGGAGGAGCTGCCAAGGGGTAGAAGTTTACCTGTTCGCACCCAGATTCTTGGGATGTCTCGAGCGTTTTGCCAGTGTGGTGGCTAAGACTCTTTTTTCAGGTCCCCATTCTCATCGCGATGTGGCAGGCGTGGCGCGTGAGCACCTCAAGGATTGCAGTTGCCTGGTTGCACCCAACTTGTGGGGATGTCCCAAGCGGTGTGCCTGTTTGGTGGCCAAGACTCCTCTCTGATCAAAGCCCCGTGACAATCGCGATGTGGCAGTCGTGGCAGTTGAGCACCCCACGGAAAGCCGCCAGGGGACAGGACATTTGCCCGTTCGCGCCCAGATTGTCGGATGTCTCGAGCGGTGCACCTCCCCATGCTCATCGCGATGTAGCCCTGCGCGGCACTTGCGCACCCGAAGAAGGCCGCCAGATGGGTACGAGATGTGCCCGTTCGTGCCCGAAGTGCAAGGATGTCTCAGAAGGCTCGCCTGGTTGGTGACCCAGACTCCTCTCGCCTCACAGCCCCATGCCCATCGCGATGTGTCAGTCGTGGCACCCAAGGAGGAGCCGCAACGGGATAGGACGTTTGCCCGTTCGCGCCCAGATTGTGGGGATGTCCCAAGCGGTTTGCCTGTTTGGTGGCTCTCGAGCGCGAAAGATACCCGTACCCTTACCCAGACGGGGTGGCAAGGGGCCCTCGGGGCATCATCCCCCCTGGGTCCGGGTCGGCTCCCGAAACCACCATACATACCCGTACCTAGACGGGGTGACCCAACCACCACCCCAGCTAGGTCCGGGTATGCATGGTTGTTTCGGGCACCGACCCGTACCCAGACGAGGTGGCGGCAAGGCCGAAAACGCTCTAGCGGGCGGCCCTTTTCACCCCAGCTGACCCCGGGTCCGGGTATGTTTTGGGCTGGTGGCCGCCCAACTTTGGGCCAGGCGTGTGAGAAAGTCCGCTCCGGCCGAGCTCTGGCCGCGCGCGGCCGCCGCTGCCGCGCTCGGCCCCACTACCGCCGCCGCCGCGTCTGGCCCACCTACTGCCGCCGCCCGCCTACTTTTCTTCCTTCTCCTCCTCCTCCTCCTCCTCGTCCTCCTCCTCCTCCTCCTCCTCCTTCCTTCCTTCCCTCCTTCCTTCCTTCCTTCCTTCCTTCCTTCCTTCCCTCCTTCCCTCCTTCCCTCCTTCCCTCCTTCCCTCCTTCCCTCCTTCCCTCCTTCCCTCCTTCCCTCCTTCCCTCCTTCCCTCCTTCCCTCCGTCCCTCCTTCCCTCCTTCCCTCCTTCCCTCCTTCCCTCCTTCCCTCCTTCCCTCCTTCCCTCCTTCCCTCCTTCCCTCCTTCCCTCCTTCCCTCCTTCCCTCCTTCCCTCCTTCCCTCCTTCCCTCCTTCCCGCCTTCCCGCCTTCCCGCCTTCCCGCCTTCCCGCCTTCCTCTCCTCCCTCATCCCCTCCTCCCTCCTTCCCTCCTCCTCCTCCTCCTCCTCCTCCTCCTCCTCCTCTCCTCCTCCTCCTCCTCCTCCTCCTCCTCCTCCTCCTCCTCCTCCTCCTCCTCCGCCTCGTCCTACCGCACCGCATCAGGAGTGTTGATCATGGTCTTTCCCCAGAGGAGTGTTGATCATGGTCTCTCCCCAGAAGAGCTCACCGCCATGGAGCGCCTCATGCAGAAGAGTGCCAAGGTCAAAGCTCAGAAGAGGATCCGCACTGGACGTGACGCGGCCCAGAGATTCGAGCATGTGTTGGCCCAGATGCAGCCTGCCGACGGTGCTCCAGCGGCAGTTCCCCATCCAGCACATCAACTTCCAGTACCTCGTGAGGCCGATGAGGCGGCCGCTGGCGATGCTGATGTCGCTGCTCCTGCCCCCGTGTCCGCAGTCGATCTCGGGGTGCAAGGGATGGCCAGCAGGAGGGGCAGCAGGAAGAGTGACCATCGTGAGAAGGATGAGAGTTCCCTCTTGTTTTGTAACATAACCAGTTGGAAGCAAGTGACTCTAGATGTCCTGAAAGCGATTGGGCCAAATTGTGAGATGCTTTCCTGTGCGGAGCATCATCTCGGGCTCTGCGAGCTCTCCCGCGCCCGACGTAATGCTTCCCAGATGCGATGGAGGCCCTACTTGGCGTCCTGCGTTGCCGTCCGCTGGACGGGGGCACACATGGAGGCGTAGGACGCTGCGTCTCCAGGGGCCTCTGTTTTAGGCGCTTCCTGGCCAGGTCCAGGCTTAAGGATTTGGGCGTGGGCCCCAATGGATGCTTCTCGAGCTTAGGATTCAGACTTGCGTCTTTGCTGTAGGTGTTGTGTGTTTGATGTCTGACTTGGGCTTCTCGGGGGCCAACATCGAACGGATGCGGTCTGTTGCGGAGTTCCTGGGGACCCTCGCTATTCCCTGGATGCTCCTCGGGGACTTCAACACTCCTGCTCCCGACATGGACCTCACTGGATCCCCCCAGCTTGCCTCAGCCCGTGTGATCACACCTGAAGGAGAAGATGTTACCTGCACTCAGAGAAGGGACTCTCCTATTGATTATCGTTTGGCGTCTCGTGATGTTGGAGAGCATTTCACCCTGAAACCATATTTCCCGAGCCCCTTTCAAGACCCATGTGTGATTGGCCCTCACCTTGAAACACCAGGCGTTGCACCAGGTGATGTGGCAGCGGCTTCGACCTCCGAAGTACCCTCTCTGCTACGGCCCCGACCTTCCATGGGATCGCTTGGTGGCTATGGTGGAGGATCCAGGCCAAAGTGAAGCGCCGCAATGTCTGCATGATGCGATGGTTACCCACGTGCAAGATTGTTCGAGTTCCTCGCTTAAGAGTTTGTACATGCTCTGGTCTAGAACGACCGAGGCCATGTTTGAGTCTCGAGCGGTTGCATGTGATGAGTCTCCCAGCTTGGCGCATTGCGGAGATCGTTTTGCTTTTCGTAAAACCACTATTGCTCGGAGGGGCCCCGATGGCCAAAGTTTTCGTGAACTCGAGTTGGCTCGTTGGGCCCAGGCGTCTCAAAAGTGGTCTGAGCACCGACTGTATCGCGCCAAAGAGTCTCCGCACATGATTGCCAACATAGGCACCCAGCTCATTGAACTGTTGCAGATGGTATCAGTCCACCTGCGAGCTGATGCTCCTCATCCACCTGCTTGGTGGCATGCCGTCGTCGGTCCGCTCGGAGGTGGTGAAGGACAACCTGCCACCGACCTCGCCTACGTTGCGTTTGGCGAGATGTCCGACGCCATGTCTGCCGAACTTTCAGCGTCGTGGTCGGCGGCGCATCAGAGGTCCAGGGATGGGTTAAAGCTTTCGTTGAAACAAGGCCCTTCCCAAAAGAGGCTAAACGGGTCCACTCCTGGTTGAAACATTATCTGGCTGATTCCCCACTGTTGTGGTGTCCCCTGCAGGAGTGCTGCAACTTCCAGGCGACATGGTGAATCACCGTCAATGTGTCTGGGAACGTGTTTGGAACAACCCTGACTCTCGCGCTGATGTTCCAAGTGTCCTGGACGCTCTCCGCCCGAGAGCCCTGCCACATGCTGAGAGGTTGGAGCCTCTCACTGTCTTGGACATTCAGCGAGGAGCTAGGTGCTTTTCGGCGACCACTGCTGTGGGGGTGGACCAGTGGGCCCCCCGCCAGATTGTTGGCATCCCCCTCCAGGCTGCTGTGGGGTTCACTTACATCTTCAATCAGTGTGAGCTATGCATGATGTGGCCGTCCCAGGTGTTATTGAGTGCGATTGCGTTCCTGTCTAAACTGTTGAGTGTGAAAGACCGATGTGTAATTATCCCACCCTCGCGCGCATTGTCAAGCTCGTAACCAGGACCTGGATAGGTGGAATGCTGACAGATATAATGTTTGGGGCACCGCAGTGCAAGGCTGGAGTGCCCTCCAGGCGGTCCTGTTGCGAGAGCTCGGTCACGAGGTCGCTCTCGCGCTCGGGCTCTGATCCGTGGGCGCCCACTGGGACCTCACGCGCTTCTGTGATACTGTCGACCCTCACAAGC